GAGGGGATGGGGGCCGCCGAGCCGCCCAACGGCGGGGAGAAGGTGGCACCGGAGAAGCCACCAGAGGGGTTGGTGGCCGTGGTGGTGGCAGCAGAGGTGGCTTTGGGCTTGTCCCCGGTGTGGGTGCGCTGGTGGCGGTTGAGGTGGGAGCTGCGGCTGAAGCACTTGCCGCACTCGGGGCACTTGTAGGGCTTCTCCCCGGTGTGGACGCGCTGGTGGATGGTGAGCTCGGAGCGTTGGATGAAGCTCTTGCCGCACTCGGAGCACTGGTAGGGTTTCTCCCCGAGGTGGATGCGCTGGTGCTTGATGAGGTTGGAGGAGACGCTGAAGCACTTGCCGCAGACGTTGCACTTGTAGGGCTTCTCCCCCGTGTGCATCCGCCGGTGCTTGGTGAGGTCCGACTTCTGGATGAAGCCCTTCCCGCAGTCGGGGCACTTGTAGGGCTTCTCGCCGAGGTGGGTGCGTTGATGTTTGATGAGGTTGGAGCGGACGCTGAAGCTCTTCCCGCAATCCCCACACTTGTAGGGCTTCTCCCCCGTGTGCATCCGCCGGTGTTTCACCAACGCCGAATTTTGCCCGAAGCTCTTCCCGCATTCAGGGCAGGTGTAGGGCTTCTCCCCGGTCTGCGTCCCTTGGTGCTTGACGTTCTCCGCCCGGTAGGTGAAGTTCTTCCCACATTCGCTGCACTTGTGGGTCCTCTCCGGCGCCGGTCGGGCCCGGGCCCCCCATAGAAAGCTCTTTCCACAATCGGTGCATTTACAGGGTCGTTCCCCGGCGGCGCCGGCCAACAACCGCCGGCGCTTGTTGGAGGCCAAGAAGCTCTTGCCGCAGTCGGTGCATTGGCAGGGCTGCTCGGCGCCGGCGTGGACGCGTTGGTGCCTCTCCAGGTGGGAACTCTGGGAGAAGCTCTTCCCGCAGTCCCCGCAGCGGTAGGGTTTCTCCCCCATGTGGATGCGCCGATGCCGGTCGAGATGGGAGCTCCAGGCGAAGCTCTTACCGCAGTCGCCGCACTGGTAGGGTTTGCCGGCGGCGTGGCTCCGTTGGTGCTGCAGCAAGGCCGCGTTCAAGCCGAACCCCTTCCCGCACTCCCCACACTTGTAGGGCTTCTCGCCGGCGTGGGCCCTCCGGTGCTTGGCCAAGGCCGCGCTCTTGGTGAAGCCTTTGCCGCACTCGTTGCACTGCAAGGCCTTCTCGGGGGTTTTGGAGCCTTCGGCGGCGCGAGGGGCCGGGCAGCGCCCGCAGTCGGCGCAACGGCAAGGGGGCTCGCCGGCGGCGGCGGCGGCGTGGGTCCGGCGGTGCCGGTCGAGGTGGGAGCTCCAGCTGAAGCTCTTGCCACACTCGGGGCAGGAGTAGGGCTTCTCGCCGGTGTGGATGCGCCGGTGCCGCTCCAGGTGGGAATTCCAGTTGAAGCCCTTCCCGCAATCCCCACACTTGTAGGGTTTTTCCTCCAGGTGGAGTTTTTGGTGTTTGACCAAACTGGCGCTGGCGGTGAAGCTCTTCCCGCAGACGCCGCATTGGCAAGGGGCGGCGCCGGCGGCGGTGCCGGCGTGGACGCGTTGGTGCTGGATGAAGGCCGAGCCCACGCTGAAGGTCTTGCCGCAGTCGGGGCACTTGTAGGGTTTCTCGCCGGCGTGTCGGCGCTGGTGGGTGATGAGGGGGGAGCTGAGCCGAAAACACTTCCCGCATTCGGGGCACTTGTGGGGCCGCTCGGTGCCGCGCCGGCGTTTGTTGAAGGCCGAGCCGAAGGCCAAGGCTTTGCCGCAGTCGTGGCAGCGCCCGTGGCCCAACAAGCTCCTCGGGGGGAACTTCTTGAAGCCCCGGTGGCCCGATTTAGCCTGTCGCTTGCCCGAGGGTTTTCTGGGTTGATTTTCGGCTTTTTGGGGACTCTCGTTGGGTTTTGTCCCTTCCGCACCGGTGGGGCTGGTCCCTTTGGGCTTCCCCACCGGCGTCCCCTCGGCGTCCCCCTTCTCCAGCTCGCCCGGTGGTGGGTCTTCCTCTTCGTTCTCGCTCAACAACCCATCGTCTA